GTCTCCACATTCAAAGCAATCACCCGTCTACACACTTCCATGTGCTTATTAATTTTACTACTTCTACGCCGTACATATTGAGGGTTATCTGACTCTTGCAATTCCTCATATGGATCTGTGTGCTTGGAGACAACACCAGACAACATGTCACCACATTGTACCCGGTTAACATCAAGTGAAATCGAGTGAAAAGAGACAGTCAACGTTGATATCGCTGATGTCACCTGGCAGTACTTGTTACACTGTCCTCGATCTTCGTTCACACATTTGGTGGCTTTAAAAAACGTCCAGTCTGCACAGCTCGCTTGCTGAGATTAATAGTTCTGCTTCCGTCTCTTGTTGTTACATTTATTAAAGTGATCCTGTTCCACGTGAGGACATACGACTATGTCAATGATGCTGTTTCGAATGAGCTTCCCGTGGGATTTCCGTCTACGATCTTGGACTTCCAGACTAGCCAGAGAACGTTATGTCCTTGCTGGGAGGACAATAACATGGGTATGGTGTCTAATTCAATGTGGGCGCCATCCTGTTTTTGTATGCCAGGAAATCTATCTTAACACGTGTGTGACATCCCCCGGGCACCAGCTACAGTTGTTACCACGCCATTACAGTCTGACCTACCCATCGCAGAAAGAGGAGGAATGCCTTGTTCAAACTGATTGTCAGTGTCATGAAGGCAAACTTCCTCGTGTTCATTAACATAGACTTCTGGAAGTTGTCATTGAAGATACAAAAATATCGGTTTACAGAGTTTGTATATCCTACAAATAGGTTCACTTAGCCAAATAAGGTAATCTTATTATTGCTATGTGTGCCAATATGTATGCTTCATAGCCCATTAGAACTTGCACTGAGCCAACTGTACTCTTCGTGTCCTCTCGTCTTCTTTTATGGTGCTGATGATAATCAAGGTCTAAATTCGTTTCACCGTGCCATATCTAAATATGGCTTTCCACATACCAGAAAACCGTATATATTGCAACGTATTATCATGTCAGTACCTGTGTACGTCATCGTCGCTGTAATTGTATGCAATTTGTGTGCATTTTGTGCTTTGTTTACAACCTGCTTTGCCTTCCTGATCAGCCTACTAATGTTCAGTAATACTGGCGTTAAATGGTTCCCTGAGGTGTTGGCTAGTTATTTCATATTTGCTGTAACCAGTTTACACAACCTGTGGAAAACCAGCCGGGAAATAGACACAGGATACACGGAACTCTTCAAGACCGCCTTTGACATAAGCAAATCAAAGTATGATAACTGTGCTCGCGAAATCAATCTCAATTGGTCAGAAGTTGCAAGTCAGGAAAAACGCAGAATGTAGACAATTCAAGACTCCCCCAGTACATCAAAATACTTGATGGATGACTTGGAATTCCATTAGACCTGTTTGAAAGTGTGATCGAACAGCACCGTCCGTTCCGAGTTTTTTTGTGTTACCTCCTTGGTGAAGCTGGCTGTAGGGTCTTTCATTGCCATCACGACTATTATTGACATGATAAACCACTTTCAAGAGATACACATCTTTATCAAACTTGGATCTTCCCTGTTCCTCTCTTTTTGGCCTCGACTAATTGAAAAAATTACTGAAGTTGACCCGGCAGCAGCAAGTGGGGAGTTCAAGAGGAGGTTGGGGAAAACTACCTTGACATATTGGAATCTAAATGATAGGAGGGAATTGATGAGTAACTACACAGTTGACAAATTTCAAAGTAAAAGACGAGCTTGATAGAAGTGTTGGACTGTGGCCATCATTAATGCATTAGGGACAATGTTGCTTTTAGGATTTAAAAAAAAAGACAGGATGGCATCAATGAAAAACTGGAAATAACAATATAAACTGACGGCCAAAAGAAACTTTAAGTCAGTTCTAAATATCTCTAATTTATAAAAAAAATAAATACAAAAGATAGATGCATAAGGTAAAAGGTATTGAAGAAATCAAAATCTCAACGAAGTCAACATTTAAAATGAAAGTCATATATCATCAGATATGTGCATGATGTTTGCCCAAATCGAGGTGGGTTAGCGAATACACTTTCAACGAAATGGACGAAGAATGCCATTCATGTAACGCTGAGCTGTCAAATTTCCGTTAACGATGACCAGTGGTGTTTTTCTGTCCACAGATTCTTCCCCTCACCATAACACTCCCTCTATCATACTTCGCGACCTCCTGAACGCAACATCTCGCCGTTTGTTCTCCTGTCTGCCTTCAGCTCTGAACAGACAGAACTGGCTTTCATCAGGAAAGGCGATCCTCTGCCAGTCACGTCGCTGCCAACGCCGTACAGTCTGGGCTCATCTCAATCTCTGATGACGTCACTGTCAGGAATCGACTACTCCATCGACTACCGGTCTTCATTGGGCGTAGTTACCCTGGGTGTGCCTGTTCTAGGCCTGTGTGATGTTTGCCCGGTCTGTCGTAACGTTGCATCAGGTTAGTTACAGCAACACGGGAGCAACCAAACGTTCTAGCAATGTGGGTGTCTGTATCATACCCAGGATCCGCTTGCGTTGTACGGGTGTCAGTCGTGGCATTTCTGTGGGTTTTTTTATCAGTGTGTCTGACGTGCCTTCCGTATCATTTATATACCCTTACTGTATGTGTATTTTTGGCTGCCCAAGTGGCACGTTTTCCACATTTTCTACTAAAAACGTGGACGTCAATCACTTTTTGCATAGAGCATTGTTGTGTTTAGACGATGTGTTTTACATTGACTTAATTTAAACTTGCATTTTTTAATTTTTGGTAAATTTCCTTCTTAAGGTGGTAAAGTTTCTTTTGGCCATCAGTTTTTATACTTGATTAATTCGAGCACGGAATTCACACTCACATTTACAGACAGTCAAATACCTAATGCATAAGCATCTAATGAGGGTTTATCTTCACCTTTGGTTTTATTGGGAATCTATCCGCTAGTATACTCCCTGTATGCAACACATGCATGCACAGCTAACAGTCACATTCCCAGCTGTTTGAATTACATTTTATGCAGGATTTTTAAATGTTGACGTCAATACAGATGTTTTATGTATTCTTAAGAGGCACAGGTGTCCAGTGGTCTGATATACTTTTACTAACTGTGCATGGTTTGCTGCCAGGATTGTAAGTTCCAATTTGTTAAACATTTGACATTTGTAACATTAAAACAACATGCATGAATTCAAATACAATTCTCTGCCTTTTATCTGGAATGATCCACTCTAGCTGACAGAAACAACAGAATTTTAACTATATTTGTACACAAATATTTATTTACACATAAAAACAACAAAAAAGAAACTTTGACACAAACATAAAATATTGCTTATTGCCAGTTTTACATCAGAATATTTATTGCCATAATAGCAGTATGGTTAGTATTAGTCATATTTGTATATCACAAACACTGACACCATCAGTCTGGGGTAGCACAGGTATAAACTTCCTTCCTATTTTCTGTATAGGGCACTATTCATGCAGTGGGTTGTTCTGTCTCAAGTTCAATTTAACTTAATGACAAACATTAGATGTTCAACATCTACTGTAGTTGGCGTGGTCTGTTGCCATCAGGCTGCCAAAAAACATGTACATGTGACTTTGTCCTGGTGATGCATCTCCAGCATTTACATGATTATTCTGGCTGTGTGTTCTAGTTAAGCTAGAAATAGTCCTGCTAGTTTTATCCAGTCAACCAATTATATTAATACATTCTCACAATGTATTGTTGTAATACATAGGAATTTTTGTTGTGATTATCTCAACAATGAAGTTGCACAACCATCAATGCATTCAAGCTTGACTATGACGTTGAAGATATTATACCAGACATGGCGACTGGACTGTTCGACAGGTGTTGCGTCATTTAATCACTTGTTTCAGCACCTTACTTTTACCAAGCTGGTAATCATCTGTGATTTTGGCCTTCCCTCCTTCACTACCCTGGCATGCCATGATATTACAGAAATCTGTTCACAATAGCATTACATCACAGGCACTGTATATTGAATGTATATATATATATGCATTTAAAAAAAAGATGAAAATGTATATTTCTCCCTCACGAATTAAAAAAACCCAGATTAAGCGTGAAAAGCTTCAAGGGATAGGCTTTGGCAAATTAGAAGTCCCAGCAAGTTTGTCTCATGTCGTTTGAACACCTTTTGAATATGAATCAAACAGACAAGGTACCAGTTTTGCTCTAGGCACTGATAATGATGTCAAGGTGAAGACTGGATATGTGCATGAAGAAAACTGCATGCTCAAACTAGTATAACCTAAACAACATGTTACATACTTAACCTTAAATTTATGTCTGGTGGGTAATAATGATATGACAATGGCTCCCTGTTCCAGATGTCTTGGTGTTGAAAATGAATAACAACTGAATAGGATGTGAACGGGGAGTGATTGCCAGAAAGAGGAAGAACATGAAGATGTTGTGCAATTAGTGTCAAAAGAGTGTTTCAGATCTAGAGTAAACATGCTGTGGTGACAACCTCAATCGTGGTTTTGACAACGTATACCATAAACATATTCTCTTTTGGAGCATCTTCATGTAATCCAGTAAAAATAGATATTAAATTCTGATACTATGTGGAGATCATGCCCCATCCCCCCTCCCCCAATAATTCAAGCTGATATGTTGTCTCGTGGCTGATTTGGGACAACCTTTGTCTGAATGAACAAAGACTTATCAACCTGTATAAAGTAAACTTGTATATACTGCAAGCCAAAGTAAACTTGTATATACCGCAAGCCAAAGTAAACTTGTATATACCGCAAGCCATCGACTCCTACACTGACCCCTTGCATACAGTAAAATGCAAATAATCATCAGCAAGGTCACATATGTCAGAAATGCCCATGCATCAACATACGCATTGACACTATATCCAAAAGACATTCCCGTCTTGGTGATGTTAGTTTCAGATAGTTACACGACACAAGCATCAATTGATGTGAGTAGGAAATGCCCCTCTGAGCAGGATTAAGAAGACAACCAACCCAAACACAAAATACTTGCACTTTACTTATCACAATCACAATGTTAAGGATACAAGTCTATCCAGATTCCAGAATCCTGTCCAAGTCCTCCACAGTGTTAACCGGCAGGGAACATGAGTAGTTTTCACAGACATAAGCTGTGGCCTTGCCGTCCACCTTCTGCAGGGTCTTCAGGAAATCTACCTTACTGTACAAGAAACTGTCCATCTTGCCATCTGCCAGCAGCAACACCTTGTTGGGAAGGTAGTGTTTGTGGACTGCCTTCAGAAGGGCCTTAGTGTCCTCTGACTCTCTATCTCCTGCAATGATGATCTGAAATGAAACACACACGAATAGAGGATCATCTCTCAGACAGCACCTTATAGAACATGGTGGAGAGTGTAAGGGTTGTTAGTGTTCTGGAAACAATCTCATGACCTTGCTTCAACTAATGCTTTTGAGAAAGGCTGTTACGCTGATCGAACTTTGAAACCTTGAGTAGGTCATCTCCTAGTAACCTGCGAAGCAAAAAAACCCCAGTTGAATGGAGTCTGCAGAAAAATAGGTGCTCGATTTGAAGTGGTTACGTTATTTATCCATACCACTCTTCAGCCCTGAGTGACAGTTGTTGTTCCCGGTGAGTTATATGTAGCTTTAACATGTGTAAATAACTGAGCTTAGATCTCAACCACATTCATAGACAGCACGATCTGGCATTCAGACATAATAATATCCACCATGTCATATACCATTACCATCCAATCCCCATTTAAGTCAGCCATTACAGCTAGCATGAACAACTTGAACGTTTTTCTGCACACAAGTCGCATTATAGCCATCTGTACAATGGGACACTATCATGCTCCATGATCAAATGCCAATTTCTAGGTTTATACATTGCAATTAGTGACAACAGTGACAAACTTAGATACTTCTAACATGTGTAATCACTAACTGCTACATTGACAGACATTATAACATTTCAGGATACAAAGAAATAAAGTGAGATTTGGACTGCCAATTGGTCTGATCCTAGGCTCCCTTAAAACATTATTATTATAACATGACTATTACATGTGTGTGAGTGTCATACTGATTTAACTAAATGAGTGTCATGATTTTTGTTTTTCCTGATACACTAATGTTATAATGAGTTTATTATCCACACTTAGTAACCAGCTGTAGTCAAGATCTAATATGAATTACATGGATAGGTTGAGGGCGATGAACATTCAACTCAAGACACATTTCCATCATTAAGGATTTAAAAGTCTTATTTTCAGTGAAATAAACCTACCCGGTATATGAGAATTAGGTCAATCTTGTGATCACCATCAGTCTCACAGTATGGTAACCTCTAACTGCTAACAGGGTCAATTGTGATGTGACAAGCAAGTGATATCACATCAAACATTATGTCATGACATCTGCTAACCGACTTGTATGTTTTTTTACAAGACGGCAACTGGCCATTCAGATTGCCATTCTTTAACAAGTGGACCCCTGAAGATCCGGGGTAGAATAGGTCTTCAGCAACCCATGTTTGCTGTAAAAGGTGACTATGCTTGTCGTAACAGGTGACTAACAGGATTGGGTGGTCAGGCTTGCTGAATTGGTTGATGCATGTCATCGATTCCCATTGCTTGGATCGATGCTCATGATATATATATCACTGGATTGTCTGGTCCAGACTCGATTATTTACAGACCGCTGTCATATAGCTGGAATATTGCTGAGTGCGGCGTTAAACAACAAACCAACCATTTTTTAACAAGTGATGATAATGTCTTCTACAAGCATCTCCAGAAGCTAACTGGGACATGTCAACAATGATACACTGTGGAGTCATTAAACATTACACAAACATAATGTCCATCATTTGCTGTAGAGCACATGCAATCATTATTACATGTAAACTTCAAATGGATTGTCAAGAACTGTCTTATCTTTGAATATCTTAAGAAGCTTTTGAATCAAAGACGACAGGGTTGACGTATGGATTTCAACCTCTTTATTTTTTCAATGTGACAGTTCCATTACAGTTACTAATACGGTTTTCAATCATGAGATAAAGGTCATTGTAACTTATTAGGTGCCAGTTGTGGCCAAGAAAAAAATCATGTGGGGATTGAAAAAGGGTAAAAATACATCAAATTCAATCAAAAATATTAGTAAGTCTGAACATCACCCACCAAACTACACAAAAAGAAATTCTTATCGGTGTGAAGATCGGCTTACTTGAAAAGTGCGAAACACAAAGTCCATGTGGGTCAATACATCTGTCTGACATTGCATAATTGGGAGGCCAATATGAAATAAAAGGCTGTAATTTAATTAGTTAAAATGTCACGCTGGCGGGATGTCACAAGCAATCTCTTGACCTGATAGTGAGGATCAGTCAATCACAGTCTGTTTGTCAGCATCAGTAATGTAATCTGCATCACCATACTGACCTCACCAGGCTCAGACAAGGGGTAATATCATAAATTCATTATTGGTAAATCATTTACAGTGTTTATTGGTACATTACAGAATGAATGACCTATATGAAAAAGACAAAATGGCCAGAAATAATTTCATACCCCAAATTAGCTTTCTTGGGAGCTATTTCCATGTAGTCTGTGCACTTATGCCTGTAGTAGCATCAATTATCTGTACAAAGTGATGACAGCAATGGCCAGCCATCAGGCTGTTGGCGACAGACGATATTGACAGCAGTTGTGTTTACACAGACATGAATCTTGGGAGGTACATGGTATAAGGGACTGGTGCAAAAATAGATGGAGAAGAAAGAACAAAAGTGCATGGCAAATAATGGGCTTCCTTGATGTGTTCAGGCAGCTAAAGGCATGGGGTCTACATTTGGGTAATTTGACTTTTTTCACATTGGCTGATTCTCGGAAGGTGATTTGCAGTGATGTATTCTGAGTTCATATTGATTAATATTTATAGTCATAAGGAGCTTTCATCATGAAAGTAACATTCATTTCATGTAAAGTTTATTACTTAAAACATTTACCCGCTAATGATAGTGTATTTTCATGATCTATAAAACTGAGGGAAAATTAAGCTGGATGTACTATTGTCATGCAGGTCAAATGTAATGAAGAAATGTGCACTTCAATTATGAGCAGGAAACAGCATTCTATACATAAAATCAAATACACTGTGTTTAAAGTTTTGCAGATAGCTGTCCACTTTTTCTAGCTTCCTGAAGTATCTTTAGACAAACATTCATGTTCAGAAATATTCATCACATCGAATGTCTTGATATGTGGTGTAACACCCAACTATACCATGATGTTATATTTTCTTTCTTAAAAGTGGATGATCAGTTGCATAAAGTGTACTCAAATTGTTTCCAACAAACAATAGAATTACCTCCCCTCACTGGGTATGATGAGACACAATTATCCAGTTTCTTCCTATACTCAGCAGTCAACAATACCCATGGTCTCGTCTGAAGAAAAGCATAACACGTGTGTTCTAGACTAAATATCAGAGCCTGTTAGGTTGGAATCAAATACTTACAAAAGAAATTTCAAATTATTTTAATATGATGCTGTGTGTTTGCTACAGTTGTTTAGCTGGTATCTTACACACATTTTGTTTTAGTCAATACATGTGTGCATCTGGTGCCAAAAAAATAATGTTTACATTTTCACAAGTTTAGCGACCTTTTACAAAAAAGGATCACCTTAAAAGAACAGCACCATGGCACTGAAGCTCACTTGGCTACTGTACATCCTGGCTGACATATCTGTGTTGGCAGTTCAAGTACTTCAGTTCTATGTTAAGAAAAGCATGACAGTTAGAAAAGGTTCAAATACATCCATCAACTGATGCATAATATGGTCAGTTTGGTGTAGGTGGACAGCACATGTAAACATGCAATGTAAACAGTCAGTCTTGTGTTAGTAAAGAAACCAGCTGGATATTGGATAGAATAAGAACCACAAAACATCAGCAAGGTATTCCCCGCATGAATCTTCATTTTGTTTACTTTGTTAGGTGTTTAACACTGCAATATTCCAGACATATGTCTGTACCAGATAATCCAGTGATTGATATTATGAGCAACGAGCAATCATGTGTACACTGAAGTTGAGTGAGGCTTTATCTTTACTCAAACATATACAAGTCAAAAGGAATGTGTGCATCATCAGAAAGAAAAGGGAACATTAGCGACTTATAGTGTTACCACTGAGCTCTAGTTAGTTTTGTCATTAAACAATATGTCACATGACTAACCACGGGTCCGGGTGGTACTGTGGGTACCCGGGTCCTACTCAGGACCCACCCGACCTGAGTACCCGAGTTACCTGTCCCAGCCCTAGTATATACTACACACTGAAACAGGAGAACACACTCTCACTGGATATTTTCAGTGAATTGACAAGGATAGTACAGTTGATGTTGTACTGAAGTGTGCCATGTGTATTCCAGATCAAATCAGATAACCTTGACATCACATATATTGCATGGTTTGATCAAATAGGGGCAAACTGATTTAGGTTTTACTGTCTCGGAAATTCTCCGTGTAATATGACGTAAAATGAGATGGGTAATACAAATTGGGTGTCAAATTTTTATTTTAAACTGGCTTTTCGTTTGCATGGGTTGCACAATATTGTAGAAATGTAATATTTTATTAGTCAATTTAGGCAGTGAAGCAAAGATAAACAATACCCACTGGCGTGATAACATCAACCATTCTGTATTATTTTCAAGTGTACTGCGCCTGTACACTATATAAGTAACAGCCATGTCAAAAGGACCTACACAGAATAGTTTGCACACATCCTTGAAGGTTTATAAGTACAAATAAGTCATTATAATCCATTATTGACCTTACACTTTGCTGTGAGTGAGTGAGTGAGTGAGTGAGTGAGTGAGTGAGTGAGTGAGTGAGTGACTATGTTTTTAAGCCCTTAGCAATAGTCCAGCAATATCACGGTAAGGGACACCAAAAATGGGCTTCAAACATTGTACCCAAGTGGGGAATTGAACCCCGGTCTTTGGTGTGATGAGTGAACGCTTTAACTACTAGGCTACCCCACTGCCTCTGCTTTAAATGGAAATACTCCCAAATAGATTATGCATACCACATTGTTTTGTCCATATCACACAGAAAGCAGACAGCAATACAACCTACCTGTTACCATATAAATTTATTGGAAGCGATTACATGACATTTGATTGGTTAACCAAGAAATTTTGTTTGCCTTTATGTAGAAACCGGTGTGCACACTTTGTTTCATCTGCTTCACAGGTTTAGTTAGTTAACTTGGTATTAGTTTGCATTTAAGTATTGTTATTGGGGTTAAAAGTTA